GCCTCCTAGGTGATTGGGAACGAGCGGGAGAGCTGCAGCGAGAGGTTGTGGAGGCGAAGCAACGAACGTTTGGTGCGCAGCATGGTAGCACCAAGCGCGCGAGAAGATATTTAAAACTTGTGGAAGCTGCTTTAAAGGATGAGCGGAATGAGCTAGCTGCGGTTCAGTGGTTGACGAAAGGTGGTGGGAGAGAATCGACCAGGATGCCTAGAGGTAATCACAGTGAAAGCGCTAAAACGAGCAGTCACGGCTACCACGACTCGGTAATGCATAGCAGAAATGGCTCCACCGTGTCCGTGCCTTGCTTTTCAAGTATGACACCTGTCACGTCACCAGGCGCTCAGAGACATTCTCACGCCCCCAGCCCATCCAACCCCGACCTCCAGGATGCCCGTAACGAAGTCACCCGCACGTTGCAAGCAATCAAAGAAGCTCGAGCGCAGTTAGCGCGCCTGAACCGAGATCTGGCGCAACATGTCCAAGAATTCGCTCGTGGCAACAGGACGGTAAGATCCGCAGAATTTGACATCCTACGATATGATCACAGAGACCAGGTATACGCCAACATGAGAAAAGCTCAAACGGAGCATGAGGGGGCGAAGGAGCGTCTTATGAGACTTGGAATGGCCGGATACAATGAAATTGAAGGTGCAAAACGTGATGGGCATTCAGCCTCTTCATTAACGCCGCGAACAGCAATGCGACCTAACAGTGCGGACAGCCTAGATACCCTTGTCGAGCCTCAACCTTCGCTACAGGCATCATGATGGGTCGAGCCGATGCCCTACGAGATCAGTCATCGAGCAAATACTGAGAAGTATCACAATAGAGCAAACACATCTTGCCAGCTACTACTTGATGAGGCAGAATAAAGCCCAGAATTTCAGCTCTATGTGAACACAGAAATCCAATGGGGCAATGGTGTGGAATTGGAATTCTTCCGAGGTTTGCGCTAGTGCAGCGTTGCCTCACCTGCAGCCCTATGTCTTAGCAAAAACCATTCGAAATGTGTAACGAACCCAGTTGTATATAAGCCCCAAAACAGTCTTTCGGTTGTGGATCCTAATGTCCCAGATGCCATGGCCGATGACGAGCCAAATTCCTAATGCAGACGAACGAGCGAAGAAATTCCATACCAGGCATACCCTTGGGGGCATCTTAGACGTGCTCACGACGAACGTCAGCTCGGAGCATCGTGACGGTCGTCTCCTCGTAGCCATGAAACATCACCACTATCGATGCAAATCCAGTCCTCGATATCGGAACCAAAAACCCCCATAATACACTGGCAGCATAGCGATAATAGGACGAGATGGAGCTGGTATTTGATTCTATCGGGAAGGAATTAAACTAACAACCCGGTCGTTTGACCCAAAAAAACACGGTTCGGGAGCAGGCAGATGAAGGATAAGGGACCTCCCCGCCCTTGATCTCGAGCCTGCGTACTCCATCTTGACTAGGGGGCCACTGACGCGGATGCAAGATGCGAGTGTTTAGCATTTCTCGAATCAATCCCCATTCCGCTCTCGATACTGTACATGCACCTCTGATATCCTGGACTCATACGTTCCCAATCAGTGAATCTTATGTCTCTGCTCCGTGCATGCGTTACTCGGGCTGTGCGGTATCTTCTGTTTTCCGACGCAGCCCAAGACCACGAGACGAGGGTGCGCGGTGAGTGAGAGCCCAGCTGTCCATGAGGTCCTCCCGTGCGTTTTTGCACCCATCCGTGTGGGAATGCCGAAGAAATGGCAACGGGGCGGTTTTCGGAACGGCCTTGGATATAAAAACGGTGGGGAGACCGGGGCGTCCGTGTCATTGTCAGCGTTTGCCATGTCACGAAACGTCGTTGGGAGAACCGTATCCCGCCCTCTCCTTTTTCTTCGCTGCTGTGGATCGATCCGCTTAGGTCCAGGCTTTCTCGACTGGCATCCAAGCCGTAGATGGGCGCTCATGAAAATCTCTGATGAAACTCCATCCCCCGCCCTCCAATGCTCCTTTCTCCCCACGCGTCCATGATCCAGAAACGTTGCTCCGGAGAATTTGCCTCTCCAAGTCCTCTCACCTTTGGAACCTCCCTTTCTAGCACCTCCAACAGAGCCATCGCGAAGCCAACATCCCTTGGCTCCATGACCGTAATCCCCACCTTCCCCATGACCGCTTCGGTAGCTGTACCCTTACCTCGTCAGCATCCGCAACGATCCCTCTGCCAACAAGAACCGACTTTGTGGCAGAAAGTCCCAGACGGGTCCGGGACATATCGTCCACAAATGGACGAATACTGTATCGGGAGGGAGATGAGCGGCGATCTTCTGAGATCAATCGGGTTTCAACAATGTCCGTGAAGCGGGCCTTGGTTTCTGGTGAGGTTACGGATGTCGCGTTCAGGAAGGGAAAGGTTCGAGGTGTCGACGAGCCAAGTCTTGAAGCGGGCGCTCGCGTCTGTCTGGCGGGCTGTAGATGTTTGTGTAAGCCGGTGGGAAGTCGGTGGGATGGTGAAGTTTCCCTTTCTTTCGGACTCTCGGTGCCGTATTGATCTTGTGAAGAGGAGGAGAGACCGGCTTCACGCGGCCCGCGTCCGGCACGGTACATGAGTACAGGGGGAATTTTTCTGGTGGAATGGTGTGGTGCTGAGTGGAAATGGTGATTGTCTGGAGCGAGGGAAAGAACCGGAGCAAGCTGATGTTGCGCGAGTGTACATGAATCAGGGCAGATGATCAAGATTTTGGAAGCGAGGCTTGGTTTTGGAAACGCAGGGGATGCGATAAAAGTTGAATGCATGGAAGAGGGAGGACAGCTTCAATGGAAGCGTGCTTATCCGCATCGATCCTTCAGATGCACTCACTGTTCATTCTTCACACACGGCCAAAGATCCTTCAACCAACCTCACAGCCTCCTGCGCGCAAACCCCCAACTAACCCGGTACCCACCGCGTGCGTGCCCGTAATCATGCGCCACCTTCAAATCCATCAATGTCCTCAGCTAACACCCTCACACCTCCACTCCTCACAGGCCCCAAACCTACTCCACTCCACGCCTCACAACACTCACTGCCTCGACGCCCTTACCGTTCCGTGAGAGTGGGATTGAGAGTCCACACAGTGCTGCATGACACGCCGTCCCAGCTTGAGATCCTGATTCCGTGTCCCAATTGTCAGATTGATAGGTACTAGTACCACCGGCCGCAGGTCGTGGAATCATACAAGCATCGGCATCCTCCGTCCCGCTCGCGCCTGAAAAGCGCCATCGACGTATCATATCAGGATGCTGCCTCACCAGCACCACCCGTCCTCCGGCTGCGAAAAACATCCTTGGCGAACCACGCCGCCGAGCTTCCGGGGACCGGGACCCGTGCGGTTGACGAGCAAGCCCGCGGAATTGCCAGCGTGGTGGAGGGAGGCGGCGTCCGAAATGGTTGGATACGATGGCACGGGTGAAAGCGACGCCGGCCTTTGGACACTGTGGGATCGGGTAGGGGAGGTGGATGGTGGGGTTTGATCTTATGATGACGGTGGTGAAGCTGAGTGAGGTGGCGACGTCTTGAAGGAAGCGAGGAGTTTGTGACGTTGTACTGCGAAGACTTCAGTTGACATATGCATATATACTACGTTGACGGTGGTTGCGGGTGAGAGTTCGATGCCCACGTTTGACAAAGCATCCACGAACCTCGGCGCTCTTGAACCAGGTTTGAGGGATTGGTCCACAGTCCGATCGTCGTGACGGGTGTACATTGTTGCATTTAGAAACACGATGTTGATCTGAGTCGCTTCCTCTCAAATTGAGAAAATCCTTCAGGGCACCTACTCTGGAATCCGACCCCAGCTTCAGGCACATCCTCCGCTAGCCTGCTGAACTCGTGCCAAGTATCTGCATCATACTTCTAAGCTTGTTCACACTTCTCCGAGAATCGATAATCTTTTTAGCACTCGAAAACTATCCCAAACGATTATTTGGAGATACCGCTTATGGATGAATAGCAACCCCAGCCTAAGGGGACGCATACTCGGCGTTAGAGCCCCCAGCCATATGCTTTGCTACGACTGTGATGGAGTATTTTGGATTCTTGGAAAGTTCGGGAGCGGTGCTCAGGCCCGAGACGCCAGCTCTAGGCACGCATGGTGAATGTTGAGGACAGCACAACTGGAATAGACGGTGGAACAAAATCAAGAACCACGATGTCGTGTTTGCCTACTGTATGTAGCTGACTTCCAAGCACGCATTCCTTCCCACGGAGCGATTCTTGAAAGCACAAGTGCGGAAGAGTAAAGTGGATTTACTTCCGAAAGGCAATCGTATGTCGTGGAGTAGATGGAGAAACTCCTTTGGATGAAAACCCGTCGTATATGATTTTCCAAGTGCACCTTCTTGCTTTTTTCCGGCGACGAGGAACAAGACAATGTTGTGGCGTCTCTTCTATGTATGCCTTCTTCATGATTGGGTTGACGAGCCCACGCCGGCGTCAAGACCTTTCGTCCGACGGTTAGCAAGGGGATGCAGATCCAACGGAATACAAAGACTCCGCCGCTCGGGATGATCACGCCACGTGCTGTTGTTCTCGATTTGGACAGTGAGTCACCATCAGGGATAATATGCTCCATGGCGGCTGTCCATACTCAATCTTGGAAATGTCAAACGCAAAAGACGGCGTCCGGGACAGGTCCAGGAGCAGGTTGGGCGAACACGCTAAATCCCATAAGGCTGTGAGCCTTTTCCCCCCTACCACCAGCTACATTAGATTCGAAACCAAAGATGAAACCCTGAAAAGCGCAGTCAAAGGCTTCGAGAAAAGTTGCAAAGGAATGTACTCTGTTGATGACAAGACAGTACAACTATCTCTTTATGTAGAAGGGTAGAAAACGATAGACGTGAGACAAGTGAACGTCGACCCTGAAAGCTGATCGGACCTTTCATTATCAGACACATTCTGAGATCCAATCTCCAACGCATCAGAGAAATCCTTTCCAAGCGCACTTATCGATTACCATATACCACGCATAGCCCTATTGCCCTTGGCAGCCCTCTCCGCATCCTGACCTTGATTGCTTGTCCTGGTACCTATGCTTCCCTGTCTGCGGCTGCTTCTTTTTGGGAGTGAGCTTTGGAACAGCATCCTTGTGCACTGCGATATTGCCCCACACAACAAAGTCAGGGTGACCTTCGATCCTGCGAACCTTGCTCTCATTAGTCCAGCTGTGGAAATTCGCCTTCTGCTCAGTCACGGCTTCTTCGTAGGACTTGCCGCTGAAGATCTGTGTTGCGAACCGAAAAGTACTGGCTGGTAGGCGGAAGTAGCAAGGCGCAAGGCGCAACCTTAGGGAAACGATGTCGTGGGGTGTTAGAGGTGCTGAAAGAGGCTCTGCTTCTGGCAGATCCTCAGGTTCCATCGCCGAAAAGCCGTATCCTTCTAGCATTCTCGCTCTTCTTACATTCACGGACTTCTGTGCTTCTCTCATCTGCCTCATCACGTTCTCTCGCTCGAAGATGACCAAGGCTCTAGTAGCAGCAGCAATACATCGCGCATGTCGTGGCTTTGACCATTCCTCATACTCAAGCCAGAGTCCGGCCCAGAATCTATCTTTGTTACGCTTGGCTAGACTTTGGACATGGGCTTTCTGCTGTGTCTGATCGAGCGTTTTGAACCACAGACGCCATTCTGCGGACTTTGAGGCGGCGATAGATGCCTCCCACCTTTGTTGTATAGCGCCCGGAAGACAGATTCCTTCCAAGGCGCGGAAGGGTAACAGAGGATATGATTCTTTCCTGCCAGGCTCGAGTTGGCTGTTAGTCGTGGCAACCTCGAAGTCAGGTACAAAGACGGCTTGCTCGACATTTCTCGATTGCTGATGGTCAATTGAAATGGCATATCTAGCACGATCAAGAACGAAGGGTGCTGCTCTCTCATTAGCATACCATTGAAAGTATACCATCTCTGCTGTGCAGGGCTCTTACGCTCTTGCATCCACATGAACGCACCTACTGTCATCCCCAACGCCCACTCCGAGTCCAGTCGCCACGGCCTTCCTCGTAGGTCCAACCGCGGGTCCATCTTCTTAAAAGACTTAGCTGATAATCTTTGTTGAGATTCGCTGGACGTTACTTGGCATATGCAGTGTGAAGGCCTGATGTTGGCGTAAGCGTGGTTAAATTTCTTGTATGATTGTGGTGTCGTCTGATGGCCTAGTGGGCGAGTAGACAGTCTGTGCAAGCCTAGCTATGTAAAGGTTCGGGCGCGTTAGTCGACGTAGAAAGCAATAATCATTGGGTGTTCTCTCAGTAAGAAAGCGGGCAACGAGGATTCACACCAAATATCATTTGAAAGAGAGAAACACCAATCAAAACAATGACGGTTGCAACGAAAATATTCATTAAAAGGCTGTGATGGGTAAGTCTGTAATTAGTAAAACGTTGGGGAGGACGAAATGATGTCGAGGTTGCGAGGAGTAGATATCCATCGTGGCTGTGAGTGGGCCGACGAGGAAAGCGCGACCTTTCGGAAAATTAGCCTCGAGCGCGCACCCTTCATATCGACGTTCAAACAGTAATAGAGGTACTGGAAGGGTCATCCAGTGCTCCCCGAATAGGAGTAAGAACTATGATTAAAGATGAGGGTAAGCCTCGGAAAGGGTATTTAAAGCAGCACCTTTGACGACTATTAGAGAATGAGCGTTTCTATCATTCGAAGACTTCCGTCTAAAAGATTGGAACAGTCCAGCATCTCGACTTATTGCTCAGAAAGCAACACCAACACTGGCTACTTGGGGCGGTAATGGCGTCTTCTCGACATCGAAGCTGGCTCCTCGACCACCACCAAGAGTCCAGGACGAAGACATCGAGCTCTGTTTCGTATGAGGTCGGGGACTGGGAAAGGACCATGGGCTGTGGAGTTCTGTTGGGCCGGAAATATCGTACATGCTCAATGACGCAGATGAGCGTTCAACTGTTGGAAGCGCTGGCAGGGCCTTCAGAATCCACTGAGAGAAACGATCCCGAAAGGATGAATGGGTATTGCCTGAAATGGTTGCAGTCACTATTGGTCTCTCATTCATTGCGGTGTCTGGGCGAAATGGGTCGAGGAGAGGCGTCGGGGCATTCAACAACGTCGAGCTTCCGGAAGATGATCTCGCCTTGGACATAACAGGCACTTCTGCACGGGCATCGCGCTGGATCGACTCTTGCCATTGAAGCGGTTGTTCATCATAGGGCGAACTGTCGGTGTTGTCGTCACGATCGGAGATAGGGGACAGAGGCATCTGCTCACCGGGTCTTGGCGATAAAGGCGATATTTCCTCTTGGATGGTAGCGCAATTGGGTAAGCGTGCCTCTAATGACTGTCGCTCTTCCAGGTGCGTTCGCAGCCGCAGACTCTGCTCACTAGCTCTTCGATAAATTGTGTAGGGGGGCTCAGAGTTGGATCGAATGGCAGGAGGTGGAGGCTGGGGTAAATGGGCGTCCCTGACATCCAAAGCATCTAAGAAGTCCTGTGCACTTCGAGTAGTCATGAAGCTCGGTCTGCGCTCAATAGACTTTGACCGTAGGTGATCGATGGATCGCGACTTTGTGGGACCACCGACCCAGTTCAATGTAAATTGGCTGTCCATGCTGAATCGTGATGCATCTAGAGAGGACGTCCTTGAGGGTACTGGCTTCCTCGGGATTGAGAAAGAGCTTGAAAGGCGTCGGAGTAGCATGGAGTCTGATCGTGACTTGACGAGTGCTTGCACAGGTCGTTCCACTGTCACATCCTCCACCTTGTCAGCTCCATCTTCCCAGAATATTGGCAGATCGGGAAGCTCATTGCCGGGCAGGTAAATGCTCAGTTGTAGGGGTCGAAATGCTGGGCTTCGCCTTAGGGGAGATACACGTCCGCTCTGGACCCTCCTGAACTCGGACGGGGCGCCGATCGTTGGCCGACGGGGTGCGCTGCGTCTACTTGTGAAGCTCATCCTGCTCAAGGATCTTGAGGTCCGAAGACGGCTTTCGGATAGCCATGCGGACTGACGTAGAGAGCTTAAGGGGCGGTGGGATGTAGATTGCCGGTAGGAGGATCGAGGTGTCGCATGTGCTTGGTCGAGATTGTATTCCGGTGGATGATGTGGCATAGGTTGTTCGTAGCAGACTTCAGTGTGATTACCAACAGCTAGTGGTGTCAGGTTAGCGAGGTTGCTATATAAGATTGATCAATGGTGGAAGACACACTTATGCCGGGAGCCGCTGGCTCAGGCTTGTCCCCGCCGTCCTGCGGCTTTAGAAAGCAAGATGAAATGGAAGTGGCCAGCCAAGTTAAATGCACCAACTCCAAACAGTCACTCAAGCTCTCCATTACTACACCCTCATTACCAGTATTGACAGACCCAAGAGCCTGGGAAGGACGTGAGTAGGAATGGAGGCGGAGAGCCGTCATATACGAGGAGCTGGAAATTTGAAACCGCACATCGTTTCTGATGTGGGAGCACAAAGGCACATATGAGACGATTGCTCTCCATGGACAATCCAAGACGAGTCACGCACGCAGAGAGGGCGCCAATGAGGTCGAGCCCAAATTGCGGCACAGATATAGTAGAGGTCAGTATTGGACGGGCAAGAGGGTTCAATATAGCTTGAAATGATCGCGGCCATTCATGAGCGGTAAGCAGGATTAGATGTGGTGAGCTTTCGGAGGTGTCACCAACGAGCATGGGATCCTGAAGTATGATTGGTTTCTCATCAACAGTCGTGGGCGCTTACGGAATAAGGGCCTTCGGTATGACCATGTCTGATAGTAATGAGAAGCTAAGGCAGGCACCAAAGATGGAGTTGGCAAAGTAGTCGCAAGGCTGGACGAATGAATCTGTCTTTCCATAACGATGCATTCATGATTTGGTGAGACGTTCAATGTTTTGAAAGTTGGGGTTCATGGATAGGTATGGTGGACAACTGGTGGTTCATATTGACCATTTGACACACCCTCAGGGGTCAATGATCCTCCGATCAACCGAAAGCGGGAACTAGAGTAGAGTAGAGTAAGCCCGTGAGGACGCTACCTTACCACGCGGGTGACAGAAGTCGTTGCACACTAGCCCCAAATGGAGATTAGGGCTAGTGTGCAACGACTTCTGTCACCCGCGTCTTACCTTATTCAAGTTCCATCTACCGTACCTACCTTACCTTACCTTATTCACGGTAAGTTCAATACCTTCTGTATTGGTGACTGATCAATTTTGTCGTGGTTCTTTAGGGCTCGACTGGTTGGTATACGTGATACTTTCGGCTTACGCCCACTGTTGAGAAATTGATGTTAGATGAGATTGTGTTGATCACTTGCACCCAGTAGTAATCTTTCACCCCATTGTTATGGTACATCATGCGAGAAATTTCTGGCTCCTCTCCTTGGGAGCTATGTTGCCAGCGCATTCAGTAATACTGTTACGGTGCTTGTCTATACAATCGAACGTCAGATGGACTTGTTGCAGAGTTGATCCCAGTCCTCAACGTACGATGGCGTCTGCGTTGCAGATGTACCTTCGGCTCTCGTAGCTAGGACTCTTCGTCGGAACCCAATACAAGGAGATGTTTGCAATAGACGGGAATTATGATTAACGGCATCACCGGAGAGTGTAGTGGTGTATCCTACCCTGGTCTATGACCTTACTATCTATATACATCTATGATTGTAATGCTGGAAACCCTACTGGACTGTCATATTCCTCCCAAAATACCGTTCTCCCCAGCATGGCGAATCCATGCAGATCAAACGTGAACACGCTGCCATCATAGCTGTGACGATGTTTCCTTCTGATCTCTGGCAGACTCCGAGCCCTTGACAAAGAATTGCGGAAATATTGACCGCAATTCTTCCAGATCACGAATTTGATATCTTCCAGCTTTGCTCTCCGGGGCTGAATCTTCCTCTTCCAACTTGTGCACAACAGTCCATCCCCTCTCATTTGCATGTCTACAATTAAGAGCCGAGTCGTCGACAAAGTAGCACTCCTCGCCCTTCGAAGCCCCAGCCTCCTTCTCCGCCTTCTCAAACATCTCCTTGTGCGGTTTTGCTAGCAGCACCTTCGCCGCGTAGTCACAATACGTAACTCCCTCAAAGCAATCCTCCACACCCAGGAGCCTTACCACCCTTCGCGCATGCGTTATGTGGGCGTTCGTGAACAACCACATCTTCACCTTGGTCCTGTCCATATCTTCCAGCAGCCTTCTCAGCTGTGGGTCGGGCTTTATTACATCATCGAGCGGCAACGCATCATCGACTTCGCGATTGTAGGCCAAAGGGTCAATGGTATGGTGTTTGACAAGACCCGAAATGGCGAGACCATAGTCTTTGTAGTATCTTGCATGAAGGGCTCTGGCGTCCGAGGCGGGGAGAGAAAGGTGTCGGACGAAGTAGGAGTCGATCAGCTCTTGCATCAATTCTTGAATGCGGAGGCTGCGAGGATAGAGACAGTTGTCTATGTCAAAGAAGAAGACCGAGCGACGATCTGGGGAAGAGGCTGCTGACATTATGTTGTAGAGACTGCTTGAGGCGGATCGAAGTGAACGTCAGCCTTTATCTAACCTAAAGATGAAGGTCGCCACGGTGTTTGCGTAGAAACAGCGGCTTGTATGATTCTTGTAGAACGACATGATAGCATCACAGTCCTGGAACTTGGAAGAAAGGGTTGAAGTCATCACTGATCTCACACTAAGCCAGAGTGGCCAAGCTGTTCGTATTTTCTACATAAAGTGTTTGCGGGAATACGTGCAACTTAATAATGACAGTCATATCGCGAGATCATCCTCCACCTTTTCTGGTCCGCTTCAATATGGGCTTTGCTGTACTGGGCAGTGGAGACTTTCGGAATCTGGACTCGAATTCCTTGCATTTCACGCTAGATTGAAAACAACCTAGTCGCGTGGACGAATCTCCATCCAGATCCAACCTCCTTTCCAAGTTACCTTCCTTACTCTTGACACAAGCTGCCGACACGTTTACGTTGAAGTTGTCTAAACTGATACTGTCTTAGCTTCTGCTATATCAGGTCGCTCGCGATTGTGGATGAGATTACAAAGTGATGTGTGTGGATAGACATTCACATTGACACAGCATTCAACAAGTCAGAAGTACGTACGATGGCCAGTGCTGTCGCTGACCGCAATGGCTTTTCATATGCTGAGAAGGAAGAGCTTGTTGAATATGAGAAGCTTATAAAGCTTCGCAATGATGTCTTCGCACATAGTCATCCCTCACCCAAACTTCCCAGACAGTCTGGTGGTCTAGGTAATCCATTGTCTGCCTCTGGACCTTTACCCTTACCGCCCGTGTCTTCGTCGCAAATGACGAATGGCGTTCATCCACCTTCTCCGGTCAGCAACGGGACATCTTCACTCGCAGCAAACCCGCATGTCACCAAGCCTTTGTCGAATCCCTTTCAGCCCAAATCGCCCAACAATCTGAAAGTTTCGACTTCAGCGCCTGGGTCATCTGGCATCGACCCCATCTTTTTAACCAAATCAGATGTACTTGTAAGAGCAGAGATACAGCAGAAAAGGCAACGCATCGAGCGGGCCTTGGAGGAGCAAATACACCAGCGAAGAAAGCAGAAAATGTTCGATCAGGAAGCCTTGCCAGACTTTAATGCTACCGAAGTCTTGAGAAAGGCGCAAGAGCTTGTAAAGCCTGTCAAGATGCACGAAATCAGTCGCGCTAATGGAGCTGCTTCATCCAGTGATTCATTTGATGAGAAAACATTTTACTCCAGTCAGGTGGAATCTACTACGACAGAGGAAGCAGATGAGTCTCATAAATGGCGTCCCCATCGAATTTGCAATTTTTTCCTTAAGGGGGAGCACTGTCGATATGGAGACGCATGTACTTTCTCTCATGATCCAAAATTGAAGCAAAAGCTTGAAGCAGATGGATCACAAAATCTGGATCTTGATAGCGTCAATGCTGACGAACAGACAAGCCTGCGCCCTAATAAACCCTCAGTCCATATTTCGACGAACGGTCCACTACCTCACCCTCCAACAAAAGCGAGCACTGCAGGTGCTCCAATGTCGCAGTCGGAGCGGGCAATGCAGGAACGCATTGCGCAGCTTGAGGCTGAGCTTGCGAACAGGTCTAGGAATGAACAGCAAGCACATCCTGATGCCACTGCTCGCCAGCATGTAAAAGACATAAACGAGTCTCAGGAGGACTCTGCATATTCACCTCCTGGCCCAGATGAATTTGGGCGAGATGTAGGTTTGCGGGAGGTTGAAACACGGCAGCCGGCAACAAAACAGCGGCCTCCTCCAGGTCATGTTCAACCATCGGCACGTGAGTTTGCTGTACGCAATGACAGGTCACCCTCGCCACTGCCAAACAATGTGCGAGTTGTTAGGAATCACATAATGTCTCCTGTGGCACCACAGCCTTCGCGTGTGTCCCCATTAGCCGTGGCTAAATTTCCGCAAGTCTCTCAGGTCCAGCGCAGTCATGGTGAGAATCGTCGTCTTTCGCGTGCATCTAATGCAGAGGTTACGAGTGCTGGACCAAGTCCAAAACCTGGCTTGCAGCCTCTGAGCTCGAAGAAGCGAAGAAGGGGGGTGGATCCGCAAGAGCATACCCGTAACGTGGTTCCGCGTAGAGAGCTGGGCTCACCTGACGTCCGTATCAAGGACGAGCCTGTTTCGCCTCCTCCTTTTGGGGATGCTGTGGAAATACGACAGATTCGTCCCAGGCGGGAAGCATCACGACAACCGTATGTCGATACAGCTGCGCCTCAATATCGTGATCAAGAGCCAATAATCTACCAACCCAGAGTTGGCGAACGTCCAGCGTATGGTCAACTTTCTGATGACCGAGGACCTTTGACACCATTAGGGCGCCGCGTGGTCTCTCGCAATGGGCAACGATACATACCCAACGAGGAACAGGATCTTAGGCGGGTTGTCAGTGCTAGACATGTAAGAGCTCCGATGTCGCCTGCTCCTCACCCTGTGCAGTACTCCGCTCCTCATCCTCCTACTACAAGGGCAGCTTCTCAGGTTTACATCTCACCGACGGGCCAGCCTATGCCTCAGCAGTACAGAGCATCAGTTCAACCAGCATCTGCGACATATATCTCTCATGATCGCTCTCCATCTCCGC